AACCACCCTCAAGGATCTAGAGAAGATAAATTCAACATGATATATAAAAAGCCTTGACTTTATGGGAAGTAATGATGTAAACTAAAATATATCACCTTTTCTGTTTCATAACACATTCTATTAGGAGTGAAGGTAAGTCATATCCCTAGGAGAAAAAGGCACTTCCATACTGAGACACATGCAAATCTTATCTGATGAGACTTATGCTCATTTTTTCTCTCTCTCTAAACCCACAGCTTTACACCATACAAACAAAAACTGCTTTCTTCCCCAACTTGTACCAAATCCCTGGTACACATACAGCTTGAGCAAAAGCTTTCTTCCTTAAAAAAGAAGAAAAAGAAAAAAGAAAGAGAGAAAGTAAGCAAGAAACTCAAATTGCCAGCTAGAGCAATAACCCCCAAATGCCTCCACAGATGGCCCTGTACTCTGAACTCCAGACCCAAATAGCTACCGCTCACCGACATGAAACCTGAAACATTTCCCGTGTACCCACATTCAACTTGGCCAGACCTTATCAGCCTCACCTCCCCTTAAAATCAAAAATACATTTCAGAAAAAGTCTGTGTATTTAACACCACAAAAATGCACACCTAAGATTTACTACATTTGTTAAAGTTCATGTTATTCACATTTAGCCACAACAATTTTTTTTTAAATCTGATCTTCCTCCATTAGTGCCTAACTCAGTAAACAGCACACTACCCATTGTCAGCTCCTGACAGAAATCCATGATTCCTCCTTGTCCCTACCCTTGCTGTCAGCCCACTGTACCCCATCAATCACAGAGCCTAAGAGATTCTTAATCATCTGTCAACCAGTTCACTCCAACAGCATCCTCATGGTTCTCCATGTGCACACTGAAACTCTCCGATTCCTGTTTCACAGGACAACCACAGTGAGCTTCATAACATGGAAGTCAAGTCGTGTACTGCCTGCCCTCTGACATCCTTCCAACACAGCCCAAATCCATCACCTGGTCTGCAGAGCCCTGCCTAACGTGGCCCCCATCCATCTCTCCAGCCCCTCTCTAAAACTCCCTATCCTTCTCCACTCAATTCCTTCATCACCAAGCCTGGTCCCTCCACTGCTGTGCTCTCTTCTCCTCTCTACTTAAATGGTTTCTGCTTCTCCTTCAGGTCTCAGCTGTGTCACTTCCTCCAGGAAGTCTTCTTAAGCCCTTACTCCCAAGATTTCTCAACTGTCAGAACCTCTGCCATTTGGGACCTAACAATTAACTGTTTCGTGGAGGGGGCAGAGCTGCCTTGTGCACTGTAGGTTGCTCGACAGCATCTCCTGCCATACCACTCAGTGACAAGCAAAAAGTCTCCAGCCATGGACAAGTGTTCCCTACGGTGCAAGATCACTCCCACTGAGAACTACTGCCCCAGACCAGATGAAAGCTACGTATATCTCCTTGAAATATGTTCTCAAGACAGTGTGAACTCCTCTTCCGCAGAATTTACAGAAGTGAAATTAGTTTCTGGCATAGCTACTGCCTAACATCACCTTCCCTTCTAGATGGCCAGCTCCACAAGGGTGGAGACAGACTATCTCAGTCTTATTCCTATAAAGTCTCAATGCTAAACACATAGCAGGTTTTCAAATTTTACTTTATGAATAAATGAAAGAAATTTTTGGATAGTGTTTCCTTTTAATACTATTTTTAAATTAACACTAACAATTTAATCCCATACCAAATGGGGTTTCTTTGGAGTAGCTTATTGAGTAGAACTTTAAAATCATGGTTGTAAGGCAGATTTTCAATCAGTGGTAGGTGTGATGAACTCTGACACTCAGTATAACTTTTCTTTTAATTGTGGGAAGATGGGGTTAACTTAAGTGAATTCCTGTATATTGCACTTAAGCAGGAATCTGCAGAATGACAAAAATTAATTATACATAGTACTATAAGAGGAAAACAGAACATTTGCAAATTCCCCATAAGTAGAACTTGATTCCTACAAATTAGGCTTGCTTACTTGTTTCATTACATGTCTAATAAGAAGCAAAAACCCTGGCCCTTAACGCTCAAAATGAAGCCAGTTATTTGGACTTGCTTTAGTACTGGGCCCACCGTATTTGTCACTAAGGAAGCTAAGAAAAGAGTAAGAACATCCCCTCCTCATCCATCCTCTACTTGGAGTAGGCGTTCGCCTTCTAGAGCTTGACTGTCAGTGGCAGTCATGCTCCACTGGGTCAAATCCATGACCAAGGAGGTTATGCCAACTTGGGAGTCCTGGATGGCAAAGGATCCATCCAGAAGGATAAAATCGGTGCCAGTAATATCTGTGCACTGCTTAAAAACTAAAGAGAGGGTTTCAAAATATCAAAAACCACAAGACAACTTGGAATTAGGTCTGACTCTTGCTGTCTTAAAATTTCTGACTCATTGCAATGAAAGGAAACTGAGCAAGACTTGGCTCAGAACAAAAAAAAAAAATCATCCCTAATTTTGGCAGGTGCTAAGAAATATAATCTTAGCTCATATGGAGAAGAGACAGGGATGTGAAAGATAAAAGTTAATATCTACTATTTTACCATTGGTTCAAATCAGCTTCTTCACAGATATATCAATTAGGATTGGGTTTGGCTTTATATAATCTCACGCAATGCAAGACTGGAAACAGGTGACAGACAGAGCTGGCATGGTGCTCCCCATCCATCTGGTACCCAGGCTTCTTCTCTTTCTGCTTTATCATCCCTACTACTGGCTTCCATCTTCAAGACCATCTTTTGGCACAATGTGTCCTCCATGCCTCCAGGCACCAGATTCACATATGGCAATAAGGAGTATGAAACATGGCAAAAAGGTCTGCATCTCAGCTGCTTAGCCACTTTTAATCAGCTTTCCCAGGTGCCCTACCCAATAATCTATCCATCTATTTCACAGGCCATCCCTATTTGCCAGGGCCACTGAGAAATGTTTCATATTGTCACCACTACCACTTTTTCTCCACCCAACCTCTTAATCCCAATATAATCCCAATGAGTTTTGTTAGGAAAAGTAGGGGCAACGGGCTACTGAGTAGGTAGTTTGTGATCCGTACTTCAATAGAATCAGCATGTTAAAACTCTAAGAGACAACAAAGTCTCCCCAGGATTCTGTCTAATCCATGCCTCCAATTTTATATGAAGAGATTGAAGCTCAAAGCCACCAAAAGCCACTTACCTAATAGGTAGTGACCAAGAAGCCTGAATAAATCTGATTTGGGAATTGGTGCCAGACTTTAGGACTGACATTGTGGTAAATTCTGTCTGTATATGCATGCTGGTCTAAATAAATAAATTTTCTATATTGATTTTTCTCAAAATTCTTTAATAAATATGCTATAGTTTGGGGAGAAATTAGTCAATCCAATCTTATATAAACTACTAAGATTACTTACATGTCTCATCTACTATACTGTTTCAACAAAATTCTAAAATCATGAGTGGGGGCCACATCTTTATACACCTTAGTGCCCCTCCCCTAAATATCAAAGTGAGCTCAATAAAATGTACCCATGATTCACTTCAGTCCTCAAGAGAATACGGCCTTCCGTTTGTACCAAACCATGAAAGCCAGTTCACAAAGCACAAATATCTCACAGGGACCTTTTAATGGGTTTTATGTGTTATTTATTGTGCTTATCTGACAATTTCACAAGGCTAATAGCATTTCTAAAAATGTTTTGACATTTTAGCTCATACTGAATGTCCTATGGTGTATTATCAAATATGGACACTGCAAATATTCCCTGAAGGGTAATAAAAATAAGTACACACAGAAATACATGTGCATTTTGGCCTATATAGTGTACACGTTATATATAAATACTAGGTTCCCAGTACAGCACTATTAAGTGTAGTGCTATGAATAGAATGCCAATTTCAGCTACCACCCACCCATTTCGTTAACTGCAACAAGCCAAGCGATGCAGCCAGCCTTCACCAGTCACCGAGTGGATTTCCGACACCTCTAGACTCCTGTTCTCCCAGAGCTTCCACCTAGCAAAGCTTTTTTCCACCAAAGATCTCAGACCAAATTCAATTGCTCCCTATGATTGATCACAGCCTCCTCGGTCCAAGGTGCCCTAACCTTTTTAATTACATTGTTGGCAAATCAATCATGCGTGTGAACAACTAATTACCAAATAACCTCACTCGAGTTTCCCATACTTATTGAGCATCTATAGGAATCCCAGGATTAAACAGAAGTAGCAAATACGGCTCTTGTTCAGAAAGCTTAAATCTAAATAAAAAGGGCTGTCCACACCGGACAGGTGCCAGGTTGGCTAACCAAAGCACTTCGCAATCACGCTACCTCTTTTCCTAAACTGCACCATTCTGCCATTTCTCAAAGTCTGAAATTACAGCCTTTTCACAGGCTGACAACTCAGGCAAGTCTGAGTTAGAGAACAGTATCACTGTAATAGTCTGAAAAAGGGAATAATTCCTCGCCCAAGCTTTCTAACTGGAACAAATCTCATCATAAAAGCCAATTACAATGATTTTTTTTCAACTTTTATCATATCGTTTGAGGAGAAAGCAGGGCCACGCTCTTGCGAAGAGAATGGGAAAGGGATGGACCTCGCGGTAGCTGAGAGCCGACAAACTGTTTCCAGACGGCTTCTCTCGTTTTCCCAGAACCGCTCCAGAGACCGGAGGGCGCTTCGAGCCCGACGTCTGCGCCACGCCCGCGCCACCGAGGCCGCGGGAGGCCAGGATCCACGGGGGAGCGTGGGCGCTCCGCGCCGGTCACCCTCGGGCCCGGTACGTCCCGGGGCCCGCACAGGGTCAGGGCCGGCTGTGCGCGGGGGGCGGGACCGCGGCGCGCGTCCTCTTCCAAAGTTTCTCGCACTTGCACAGTTCCTCCGCTTCCTGTGGGGGTGGGTGCGGCGCCTCCGGCTCGGCCGCCCGCCAGTCCGCCAGCCCGCCCGTGGCGGAAGGGGGCGGGGAGAGCGGCTCCGGGGCGGCGGCCCGGACCCTGGACCCGGAGGGACGGGCGCGCCCGGGTGTCACCTGGGCGCCGCGAGAGGGCGCTGCGGCCGGCGCTGCGGGGACGGGACCGGACAGCGGGACGCGGGCGCCGGCAGAGCGGGACCCGGCCACCCGGAGCCCCCTTTCCCTCCGCGAAGACCGGGGCTGCGCCCGCCAAGCCCACGCCGCACCCGTGCGCGCCCAGCCACCCGCTACTTACCCCCGGAGCAGGTGAGGAGCGCCAGCAGCGCGGGAAGCGCCCGGCGACGGCAGCGGCGGGCGGACGCCTGCATCCCAGCGGCGGGGACTGCGCGCCCTGGCTGGGCGCGGGGACAGGAGACGCGCGCGGAGCTGCGCCGCTGCTGACCCTTCTCCGCGGCTCCCCTCCTCCTTCCAGGCTCCGCCGCGCCGGCTCCAGCCGCGCCCTCTAGTGGCCGGGAGCGGGAGCGCCCCCGTGCGCGCTTCCAGCGCCCGCCTGGCTGGTGGCTGAAGCGAAGGTGAGGCCCGAAGGGCTGCGAGCAGAGGTGGCGTTGACCTCTGCTACTCCGGCCATAATCTGGTCTGCGCTCTCATTTCCTTCCTCTCCTACAGCGCCTGGCCTAGGCTTTATCTTCTACCTTAATGCCTTCGCACCATCGCACCATACTCTTGTCCCCTTGCCGGGGTCCCTTATGACTCCCAAAGTGAAGAAAGAGGGATCACTTCCCTGCTAATGGACCATCGGCGGTAAAAAAAGAAAAAACAAATCAGTAATTCAACTCTTATTATTGTTGGGACCAATATTCTTCTTTGATGAAGGTGTTTTTAATCAGCTCAAATAATTTACTTAATATCCTCTTTTTAAATGGAATTTAACCAATAGATTAGGCCTGGAATTTTTACTTTTAATAGATGTTTGTGTAAGCATAATTTTTCTGAATGTGATTTAACATTTCCGCCATAATGGAAGGGGGAGGGTGTCATTTTATTCAAAACGCCTGATGAAAATTAATTAAACTGTAGTACAAAGCCGTGGAATGACATGGGAACGCTTCATCCATCAGCAGCGTCCCTGTCCCCCCAGGAGTGTCGCAGGACTCGGTCCTCAGCGAGGAGGGCGGCCCTGACAGGACGTTGACCCAGCTAGGTTGTGTGGTGGACCGAAGGGGGTAGTGATTACAAATGCAGAACTAGAAGCCTCCCGTTAGTGGTTCTGCATTCCTCTGTGCCTCCCCAAGTCCCTGGTCATTTGTGTTTCCAAGTGGGAAGAGCCAAGTACTCAGCCCTAGGCTGATAAACTCTAACTATAATCTTCCGGGGACAGTGTCTGTCTCTTTCCTATTCAGTTGTATTTTAGATGCTTTCTATGGGTCTGCCACTCTTAAGTACTCATGAATCCCAGTTTCTTCTCCATAGACTTAAAACATTCAACCATTGTTAAGCATCTACTGGAGGCCAGGGCCAGCCCCAGGAGTATAAGTAGGTTGTAGAGGAAAAAGAGAAGCAGGTGCTCAATAAGAGTTTGTAGCTTGAGCCCCATAAACTTGACTGGAACTAATGAGTTTGGGCTTGATTGCATTAAAATAGTATTGTGATTTTTCCACACAAGGCCACTGAAATTTTGTTTTAAAGGAAGTCTGGAGAAAATGTTTTCTTTCCTTGTGGTTCACACTGATTTCTTAAAACTGAGAGCTTGATATCCCCTGTGTTATTCATTTGGCGTGAATGCAAATAGTGCCATTTTGTTCTATTCAGCCAAGTTTTATACCCCCATGTAAATGGCATTTTGATGCCAGGGAAAGAAACATATTAGTCTTCCCTTTTCATTTTTAGGGAAGTTTTTCAAATTTGGGGTTAACTTTTTTAACACTTTTATCTTTAAGACAATTCTAAAACCTACCTGCCTATTTGAAAGTTCTAGATTGTTTCCAATTTCCAAAGTTGTTGAGCTTTCTTCCAAGAAAATATTCCTTACATATGCTAGATACTTAACCCAGATGTGTTTAAGTTGACACAGCAGTCAAATGGTTAAGCAAACTCAAAGGCCTGTTCCACATTTGGTAGCAAGGAACTCTAGGAGCTTAATCCATGTTTTCATCAAAATTCATCATGATAAAATATTATTATGTTCCAGAACAGGGTGTGGAATATTGGGCCCCAAGGACAACAGAGTGCTCACTCTTTAATAAACTCGCCCTGGCATTCTTCCTTTCCACAATAGACATTGATAAACAGCACATTACAAAGCTCTGTAACTCACATTTGAGAAAGAATTACTTCTCAGTTACTCTAGTCCTATGACAAATGAACTTGGTAAGCTCTCTGTCTTCCAGTCACAAGTTCAGAGTCCTAGAATGCATGTGCTCATGAGTACATTGACAGATACACAATTAGACACTGCTTGCAACACCAGCTGTGAAGGAACAACTTTCAGTAGGAAAAAATAAATCATATAAACACTTAAGAATGTGATAGGAAGGAAAGCGTGCTATAGCTGTCTTTTTCACGTTTACTTTAATCCCGGCTCTCATCCTTTGCTGGCTCTCAGGAGACTGCCACTTCCTTTCCTGGGAGCAGATGGAGAGAGGAAGGAGTTACCACTTTCCGGAGACCCTACTGCAACATGATTAAAACAGGCTAGTGATTTTCTAAATATAAAAAGAGAATACAAAGACATTTATAAAGTCATTGATAGCCAGATAACCAAATCCACAAGTTCCATATAGATGGTTTCTGATTTTTAACAATTGTACTTTAGGCACAAAGGCAGAACTTATTTATTCATTCATTCAGTTGATAGTGAATTCTTGGCTGACACACCCTTTGCCAGGCTCCAGGGCAGATACAGAGAAGCATACCACATGGCATTAAACTCAAGAATTCGCAATCTAGTTAGGAAGAAAAAAAATTCATAACTGATTTTAATACCATTCAATAAATGCTATAGGAAAGGTCGACAGGAACATTTTGGAACACACAGAAGAAAAAAAAATGAAATCTATCAAGTCCTTTGGAATTGGACAGAAAAGTAGAGTGACTTTAGTGCAAAATCTTTTGTAGGGGAAATAGTAGGTTTCTCGGCTGAGAAAATTCGGGGAACTGGTTCCAGGCAGAGGTACAGCACCTATGTGGCCAATCAGTCCAAAGTAGCATGGTAGGCAAGGAGAGGTAATAAGTGGCACAAGATTCTTGTTGGCTTCTCTCTGTGACTTGGAAGCGGCCTCCTGGGCATCCTGTTCTGTTTCCAGCAAAGAGCAAGGAACAAGCTCCAGCTACCCCCACTCTCTCTGGGCCCTGTCACTAGATTTCAGGCTGTAAACATATTTCAGGAGGGCATTCTCTTCCCACAAGGGAAAGTGGCTTTATTAATTATTAGTGATTTTAAGGATGATTTTCCAGGCCTAAAATCTGACAGTGGAATAAAATGTCTAAAACTGAGTCTCCAAGACTTAAGGTCCTTGTGATATGAGACCCATGATATAATACTTTTACCAGGGATGCACCATCCCCTCACCCCAGAATCCACCCTGGGTAATAGGTGAGTGACTATTCATTTCACCTGATGCTTTAGCTTTTAAGGAAGCAGAACAATCTTTATGCTCTATGGGAGAAGAGGGAGACAGGAAGAAAAAAGATGTAGCAAAAACCATCATCACTCAGAGCAGATCCAAGGGCCATAGCCCCCCAGCAGATGCTCAGGAGGAATACTGTACTTGGATGACCTAACATAGTGTGTCCTATGCCTCCAGGAATTTGTCTCGCTTTGCTTCCAAAGCACCTTGAAAATCAGAGGCAAAACCCATCTGGCAAACTAGTCTTTCAACCAAGATTCTTACTCAGAGATTCTCACAGGCTACCAACCCTGAACACAGGTTACCAACTTGCTGGTCCCCAGGACAATCCCAGAAATGTGAAGCCATTGACATTCAATTCTCTTTTTCTTAAGATAAAGTGGTATGAAGGCCTCTCTCCAAGAATGTACTATCTCCTAGAAACTCCTAATCAGAAATAGATGATCTACTTGGCTATTTTGGCCTCCCCTCTAGGATCACGTATCCTGTTCTCGTAAAGATTAGGAGCACTCATAACAGATGTATCGACAAGAGCAACAGAAAGTGCCTATGACATTTGTCAAGAACAGAAGGCATGGGATATGTCTATTCAACAGCTAACACAAAAAATGTGGGTGTTTTTGGTGCTGTGGCTAATAAGTAGTTGTTCATTTCACAACAGCTGCTTTCAGCTGTGGTATCCTGGTTAAGCTCAACAAATGAGTGCGGATTCTTTGTGAACATGTCACAGACAATCTGCATGTATGAGGCACCCCTATTATGTGAGGGTGGAGGAAGATATGCTTCCCTGGAGGAGATCACATCTAGTTAGAAGGAGGAAGACAGACAAGTGGTCATGAGCTTGTGTAGAACACATAAGTCCTCTGCAAAACTTAGAGAAAAGTCAGACAGAAGGGCAGGAAAAGAAAGTCATCCACTAGGGGCTGGAGGAGACCTCCCAGAGCTGGCACAGTGGCAGAGAGGCTATGGGAAGATGGAGAAAGTTATTCAAGCAGAGAGGACAGGATAATGTTGACATGGAGGCTAGGAGCTGTAAGAGTTCGGAGAGGAGGAGTTCAGTTTGTCAGCACAAGTGATTATGAAGGAGAGGCTGGTTAGGGCCCTATGAAGACCTCAGAGCCATGCTAAAGAAATGGACACAAAGGATGTGTGAGCACGTCATGACAAAACCCCCACTACAAGACTGTATCTCTTATGTCCTCATTCTAACCATTATCAGAGAAATGTTGACTAATTCGACATGTAATGAGTTCACAGGAAAAGCATCCCATTTATATATGTTGTGATGTAAGGAATGAGTGATGAGGTGAGATTGATGGTAATGTTCCATGGATTGGAGAGGAGCAGGAAAATAAAAGACCCACTTAAAAAATTATAAGAAATACATGCTAAAGCTAGGCACCCTACCAGTATTTTCAAATACATTATTTCACTTAACCCTCTCCAAAAACATTCCTACTTTACAGATAAATAACCTCAAGCAGCTCAAATACCAATAGCCAGAACTACCTACAATGAAATTGTGCTCTTTAATAGATAGTAATGACATAGGAGGGAATCACCATGAAGGCCTGACAGAGGTCAGAACAGTTGCACTTGCGGGTTCCTGGCTGGACCTGAGAGAGTTCACGGAGGGGAACAGATGAAGAAATTAATTGAAATGGAAATCTGCCAGAGCAC